GCTTGCCAGAGAAGCGCTTATTCTACTGAGGCATCTCCCCCACCCCTCTTTTAAATATTTAAGTCATTTATTGCCATAGAGTTACAGCATCTCAATATACACATTCCATGAAAATACACTGATACTTCTGAAATAAGGAAATAAGATTTTAGATGTGTGGTCAGCTAGTGGATATCATGTGGTCATTAAATAAAACATCAAGGATTTTGAGTCCTTAAGTGTAACTAGTTACAAAATTTTGTTCTCTTTAACTTTTCACTAATAATAGATAATATATTATTGGAGATAAAACCATCATCAGAAATTATTAAATTAGTTGTGTATTTTGAGCTACTCTTTATGAAGAGAAATAAAATATCCACTATTATAAGGTAGCAGAGAGTTCATTCAGGGACTCTCAGCTTTTTCTATAAAAATGGTATGGGGCCCAGAGCCCAGGCCTGACAGAGAGTGAGACCGCCCGCGGCCGCGGGATCCTGAATAGACCCAGAGCGCAGGCCCGGCATGTGAGTGACATGACCTGGGCCCGTGGATCCTGAATAGACTAGGAGCGCAGGCCTGCAGATCCTGAATAGACCCAGAGCTCAGATTCGGCATGAGTGAGACCACCCAGGGCCGCTGGATCCTGAATAGACTTAGAGCGCAGGCCTAGCGTGGAACCCTTCAGCAGAACTCCCTGAAAAGAAGCTAGAGGCAAGACCCACCCAGCTTATTCAGGAGCAGAATATCTTGCCAGAGTGACACAAAGGGTTCAACTCCAACGGCTGCAGGAGAAAGAAGTGGAGCACAGCAGCCAGACTACAGCCAGATCCAAGCAACACCCACCTGGAAGAATCGGAACTTTGTAGATCCAGACCTGATGCTAAGGTAATAACTCTATCTAAGCCCTACACCAAAGGTCAGAAGACAGTGGTATACAAAATGACAAAGAGAAGGAATAAAATGCAGCCTCAGGCCCCGAGTCCAGCCAGTACAAATGCAGAAGACACTAGCATAGAGGATACTGGAAATCACACACCTGATATCTCTGGAATAATAGCATTGGAAGTAAAGAAACAACTGCACAAAGGTATAGAAGAAATCAGATCAGAAGTAATTTCTGGGGCTGGCGAGATGTCTCAGCGGTCTAAAGCACCTACTTAGAACAAGCTTAGCAAAGCACAGGGACCGCGGTTCAATCCCCCAGCACCACATGCCAGCCAGCCCCGCCCCCTGGTGGGCTGAGCTGGCCACACACACACACACACACACACAAATAAATAAAATTTTAAAAAAAAGAAGTAATTTTTGAACTAAAAAATGTAGTGATAACTATAATCAAAGAAGTACTAAGTGCTTCTAAAGAATATACTGATAAAAATAGAGCAGAATATAAAAATGATGGAATCCCTAAATAAGCAATTTAGGAAAGAAATAGAATGTATGAAACAGATTCAAAGTGATATACAGGAAATTAAAACCTCAATCACAAGCTGGCAAAACTGGTTTAGTGAAAGTGAAAATGGACTTTCTGACCTTAAAGATACCATTGCAGCTAGTGGAAAAGTAAGAAAAGAGCTCTTAAAAAAACTAGGATGCAGGACAAAATAATTCAATACCTGCAAGAAGATGCAAAGATGAACAACGTGAGACTAATAGGCATCAATGAGAAGGAAGGAGTCAATACAAATGATATAAAAAGAATATGGGCAGAATAATAGCAGAAAACTTCCCAAATATGGGGCAACAATCTGACAGTTAAGTAACCGAAGCATATAGAACTTCAAATAACATCAATCCAATTAAAACCACACCCACACATATAAATTCAAGATCCCAGAAATTCAGCACAGGAACAGTATACTAAAAGCTGCTAAAGAAAAGCAACAGATCACATTTAAAGGAAAACCCATCAGAACAGCGGATTTCTCTTCACAAACCATCAAGTCAAGAAGAGCATGGATAGCCAAAGCACAGGGACCATGGTTCAATCCCCCAGCACCACATGCCAGCCAGCCCCCGCCCCCTGGTGGGCTGAGCTGGCCACACACAAATAAATAAATAAATAAAATTAAAAAAAAAAAAGAAGAAGAGCATGGAGCAAAGTACTTTAAGTCTTGCAGGAAAACAAATTCCAACCCAGACTGATATATCCTGCAAAACTCTCTTTCAAGTATAATGGAGAAGTGAAATATTTCCATGACAAAGAACAACTAAAAAATTTCATGATGACAAAGCCAAGCCTACACAGACTACTAAATGATGTTCTAGAGAGGGAGCAAACTGATCACAGCCCCATGAATGAGAATGGAAAGAACCCACCAAATAGGGCAAACAATTAAACACAGGAGAATAAGAGGTATACAATAGTAGTCTTTCAGTTATCCTTTTGTGTTCAGCAGCAAAATATTTCCATCAGCACACTCTACAAATGGACTTCTCTTCCACCCTATGGGTCATGATTCCACCTGAGTCTACAGGGTGGATTTCAAAGAAATAGCTGTAGCTCAATCTCACAAGTGACGCCTGGCCACCAGTAACTGTCATGGTCATTATGCATGTCCATAACACACTAAAACTTCATGCGATATTCTATCCTCAAACTGTTAGAAGTGCTGGTCATTTATTTGCCATTCCAGTATTTATCTTATGTTTTATTCTTAGTACTTCTTTGCTATCATGAAAACTTTTTCTTAGTTTAATTATTTTGAAACATTTAATTTTTAATTATTTAGTATTTAATTTTCTGAATATTGCTTAATCTTGATTTTTGTTCTAAGACTTATACTATATCTTTGACTTACAATTTATTTAAAAGACATCGCATGATACCTTTCTTCTCCTAGTATTAGAAACTTTAAAAAGTATATTTCCATTTTCTGTTGACTTTATATTACTTCTTCCCTGTTTTTTATACACACATACACACAGATACGAAAAAAAATATGTGTATAACCCAACATAAGATTGGTACTGTTTCATAGAAATCTGCAATGACCTTTAAATAAGGATTCATCTAATATATATTAGTCCTGCATAACTATCATATTGAGAGCTCTTTATTGTTCATCTGGGAGCATAATGCAACTTCTCCTGCCTTTTGAATTATGCTCTTTGTTATTTCCTATATGCTACTTCTGGAGGTATTAAAATATTTCAAGTTTGTACAACTAGAAAAATCTTTTTTTTTTTTGGCGGAACCGGGGATTGAACTCAGACCCTTGCGCTTGCCAGGGAAGTGCTTATTGAGCCATCTCCCCAGCCCCAAACTAGAAAATCGTACTTTTAGTTTTCAAAGGTATGTTTGCTAAGTATAAAATTCAAAGAGGACAGATCTTTTCTTCCAGTCCTGTAATTAGTCTAGTTTCTTATATACTTGGTCCTTTTTTCCTTTCTAATGTGGAATAAGATGCTATTTAATTTTGTTCTTTTATAGCTAATATTTTTTATGTATATGCTTTAATGATTTTTTTTCTTTACAATTAAGTTTTGGACAATTAAAAAAAAAAGTGGTATGGGTAGTAAAAAGAGCATTCTGCATTTTCTCCTTAGCAAGACTATTTATGCGGGTGGAATCTATGAGTTGGTAGCAGTGGCTGGGGTGCTGTCCCTTACATAGCTGGTTCTTCCTATTGCTAAGCAGATGCCTTCTTACTCATCTCATATTTGATCAGCCAACTTCCCTAAATGAGCGGGGCTATTTCATTTGTTGCATGGCATGCATACAAAAGCCAATTTTCAGGCTGTACTTTGCAGACAAATCTCATGAATGCCAAAGAATAGCAACAGGTCATCCGCCCACAGATAATCTCTGGAGACTTTCATGTCATTGATGGCAGCAATTAGGAGACCCCAGTTGGTCACTGGGCCTCAAAAGTGCTCATAAGGTAGTCCTGGAAGTCCTTGCTCCAGACGCAGTCCTTAGCTATTGCAGTGTTGAGTCCCGGGCCACTCCTACACCCCACGCCTTAGCTGCTCCTCAGAGCCCAATGACACTCCACCTACCCAACTTCTATATATTCAATCATAAATATAAATATATCTAAGGATATATTTATATCATTGAAGATAGAATTTTAAAAACAATTGTACATTACTCTGGTAAGTACCTGGTCCTCTGTGAGATTCTCAGCATTCCAGTTGCTACAACGAAGCAGAAGGGACTTGTCAAGAGGAAAGTTCAAGACTGCCTCAGAAAGAGATTTCAGGCTGAGCCCACTGCAAAGCAAGTTTCTGCGAAGAATAAACCATGCATCAAAAATTGGCAAAGTACACAAACAAAAATACCCAACAATGTATAAATGGCCAATGAATACAAGTCAGGTAAGCACTACACATCAAAGAAAATGATTTGCTATCTATCAGATTGCAAAGGTTTTCTAAAGTAATTTTTTTTTAATTTTATTTATTTATTTATTTGTGTGTGTATGTGTGTGGCCAGCTCAGCCCACCAGGGGGCGGGGCTGGCTGGCATGTGGTGCTGGGGGATTGAACCGCGGTCCCTGTGCTTTGCTAAGCTTGTTCTAAGTAGGTGCTTTAGACCACTGAGCCTCTCACCAGCCCCTGCAAAGGTTTTCTAAAACAAACAAAACTACCTGTATCTAGTATCAACAGACCAAAATGAATCAGGCAGTTTCATCTAACATTTGTGAACTGTAGTTAGTAAGTATGCGTGTGTGGCTGGTACCAGAGACTGAACCCAGGGTCTGAGCTGCAATTTCCGACCTTTTATTCATTTTGAGACAGGGCTACGGTGCGCAGCGACTGCAGCCTGCCTCAGGTCCCAGAGTGCGGAGCTCATAGGCCTGCACTGCTAGGTCCAGCTGCGAACTCGGCATTTTTACAGCCTTATGCAACTAATTAAATAATTTTAAAACAATAATTTAATTATGAATAGCTATTAAAATTGCAATATAAAAATTCTCTGATCTAGCCACGTCCATTTCTGAGAATCAGTATCCTATATAAAGTGCACTACACTGTAGCATTAGTCATAGTAAAGAAGGACTACAAAAATTTAAATCATTTCAATGGTATTCATGCCTTATTCTGAAATTCGAAAAATGATAAAGCTATTTTTAAAGCTGGGCGTGGTGGTGCACACCTGTAATCTCAGCACTGGGAAGGCTGAAACAGGAGGATCACTATGAGTCTGAGCTGTGTAGCAAGACCCTACACCAAATAAATAAAGATTGAAATAATAATAAATAAAGCTATTTTCATTAAAGAGGTAAAAGTCCAAACAAGGAGCCAGGGAGATGGCTCAGTGGAATAAGTGCTTCCCTGTCAAGTGCAAGGGCCTGAATTCAATCCCTCGTTCTGGAAAAAAAAAAAAAAATCCAAACAAAAGCAGCAATTGCTTTTACTAACCCTAAACCCTAACCCTAACCCTACTCTTTCTGCTCTTCAAAACTTGCTAACTAAAACTGCTGCCAGGAGAAAAAAAGGCTGCATGAGAGTAAAAAAGTTAATTGGTCCGAAGACTGGAAACTTCAACCAAGAGACTATTAAAAGGATAAATAAGTCTACCATGGTGGTGCACACCTGTAATCCCAGCACTCATGAGGCTCAGGCAGGAGGCTTAGCACAGTCTCAAAAAGAAAAATTAGAAAAGAAAACTTTCCTTACAGAATGGGAAATCTGGTGAATCTCATAAATCGCCAAAGGCAGAAACAGACTAAAAAGTGCAAAAATATCCAGACACAACTTAGGTAAAGTCCATCAGGTTTCAGCACAGAAGAAGGCAGGGATCTGGGGGGTGTAAAACTCTCTTTTGCAGCTGGGCACACAGCTCAGTGGTACAATGCTTGCCAGTATGTACAAGGTCCTGGGTTCAATCTCCAGTATTTCAAGAAAAAAATTTATTAAACTTTCTTTTGTTTTATTTAAAAAAAATCACAGTCTGGGAGCACAGTTCAGTGGTACAGATGTGCTGAGCAAAAGCAAGGCATTGATTTCAATCCCCAGCACCCAAGGAATAAAACAGCCAGATGTGATGGCACATTCCTGTGATCCCAGCACTTGGTAGGCTGAGGCAGGAGGATTTCCGTGAGTTCAAGGCCAGCCCGAGTTAATAGTGAGTCTAAGGCCAGCCTCAACTACACACTGAGACCCTGTCTCTAAATAAATAAATAAATAAAATGATAATAAAGCAAGCAGCAAAAAGAATAATGAATGCTTACTGTTAAATTCAAACAAAGAAAAACAATGAGCCTCCTCCCATTTTTTTGCACAGCTGTGCAGTTTTCTGAGCATGGGTCATGCTGTTGTTTGAAATTGTCACCCTCACTGAAGCTATTTAATTATTCTCTCTGCCAGACATGGTGGTGTGTGCCCATGATCCAGCACTCAAGAGGCTGTCAGAAAGATAGCCTAACATTTGGGACCAAGTTGGCCTAGGCAGTGAGTTCAAGGCCACCCTGAATATACAGTAAAACCCTGTCTCAAAGAGCAATAACAACCTAGTGGTTAATTGCACTAAGTATAATTCTTAAATTATGTCAAATTTCTTGCACTATTTCAACATTTTTAAGTTTTATTATATTTAATCAATAGAAAACTTTTTTTTTTTTTTTTTGAGGCAGGGTCTCACTATGCAGTTCAGGCTGGCCTTGAACTTGCTCACATAGCCCAGGCTGACCTTGAACTCACAGTAATCCTCCTGCCTCAGCTTCCTGAGAGCTGGGATCATACACATGCATCATCATTCCCAGCCAATTTTTTGAGTATTGGTGAAATTTCATTTAAAAAGACCTGATAAAAGTTTTTAGGGGGGGAGCAGCGGGGGAAGATGGCGGCCGCTGTGCCCCAGCGGGCGTGGACCGTGGAGCAGCTGCGCAGCGAGCAGCTGCCCAAGAAGGACATAATCAAGTTTCTGCAGGACCACGGTTCAGATTCGTTTCTTGCAGAGCATAAATTATTAGGAAACATTAAAAATGTAGCTAAGACAGCTAATAAGGATCATTTGGTTACAGCTTACAATCATCTTT